GTAGTGGTAGTACTTCGATATAAATAGGTGTTTTATGCATTTTAGTCTTGTATTTAGTGCCAAACTACTTTCAGTTTTAATGTTGATCATTTGCATGGCATGAAATCGATGATAACATCATTCAGCTGTCACTAGAAAAACTCTTCAAACTGACACAAGACTCACACGAGCCATCAACACTGCCTTCAGAGTTTACCTGTCACGATAACCGTCTTCTTCTGCTCCATCGCTGAGAAATGAGCGAGTTTCGATCAAGAACAGAACAGCGATCATCAGACGAGATCTTCACAAACAGACATAAACACAACACACCGCGCTCATGCTCTTCTTCTTTTGTGTTTAATGCCGGTTGGCAAACCAGCTTTTGCTGCATATTCCGCCACCTACTGGGATGGAGTGAGAGGCGATTGGACCTTTTTCACATTTCCGGGTTTCTCAGCAGCGGAAGTCGTCATAGCTGGGTTAACTTCAAGAGCAGTGAATGGGAGAGTACCACACATATATTTTTTGCATTTCCATTTGCTCAAATAGCAAAAGAAAAACTCCACGATAGTGTTTTCATGACTTTCAATAAAAGGAAAAAAATTGAGAGAGACTGATAACGGCAGTCAAGAAGAGAGAACAATGTCAAATTTACCGTCCCTCCCATAGACGCTGCATTAGAGACACCCTCGCATTAGCGTTAACTGTTTTGTTTTTTTTGGTAGGGATTTGGGAAGCATCTCTTAAAAATAAGGTGGTGTCATCTGCTAACTGACTAATACAAATTTCTCGATCCGCTATATGGATACCCTGAATACCCCTTTCACATACAGATGTTGACAGTAGCTGCACACAAAGAAGAAATAAATAGGGAGAAATGGGACACCCTTGTCTCACTCCTCTGGATAAACTAAACCTGGGTGAAGTGCCATTCTTTAATTTAATCGAAGCACTTCCATTATTGTAAAGGGTTTTAATTACTCTACAAAACATATCCCCAAAACCAAATTTAACTAATGAATTAATAATAAATTGGTGCTCCAAAGAATCGAAAGCCTTATAGAAATCTAAGAAAAGAATGAAGCTGTCCTCCTGAATCAAGTCTGAATAATCTAATAAATCAAGAATAAACCTTATATTGTTAACAATGTGTCTTTTGTTCAAAAAAACAGATTGTGTCTCATCTATAACGGAACCCAATACAGATTTTAGTCTTTTAGCAAGCATAATAGCTTACATTTTATAATCACTGTTAAGCAGAGAAATGGGACGCCAATTGTCAATTAAAAGTAAATCTTTTTTAGGTTTTGGAATTAAAGTAATTAAGCCTTGAGTGAGAGTCGGGGGGAGAGCCTCATTCTGTATGCTTTCTTCAAAAACCTTAAGTAAAAAAGGAGACAATTCTTTAGAGAACTGTTTATAGAACTCTGCGGTAAGCCCGTCCGTTCCGGGAGATTTATTGTTCTTAAGTTCTAGAATTGAGTTACTAACTTCAGATAAAGTAATTTCACTATCACAGAGATTTCGGTCATCTCTTGAGATAGTCTTACAATCTTTAACAGACTCCAGAAAAGTACGGGCTGCCTCTTCAGAAATTATTTTTTTATACAAATTACTGTAAAACTTAGCACAGAAATGTGCAATTGCCTGAGGATTATTAGTGACTGTCCCCTCAATATTAAGAGTTTCAATTAGTGAAGTACTTAAGCGACTCTTTTTCTAATCTGAAAAAATATGCTGTGTTACATTCTCCCTCCTCCGTCCATTTTTGTCTAGATCTAATATAAGCACCCTGTGCCTATAAGTGTACATCTCATCTAATTTAGCCTGCAGGTCAGCATGCTCAAGCTTATCAGATTCAGAAAACAACTCTGAGGGTTTAGAAGAAAGTATTGCAATTTTAGACACCACCTTATTTTCTTCTGCTCTCTTAAGTTTAGATAAATTACTACCGAATTTTTTTTAATATTTACTAATACCTCACCTCTCCAAGATACCTTGAAGGACCTATCTGAGAGGTAAGACTCAAACCACTGGAGTGCGGTTCCTGAGATGCCCTTTGCCAATAGGGTTAACAGGAGGATCTGGTGGTTAACCGTGTCAAAAGCAGCAGATAGATCCAGCAAGCTAAGTATTGAAGATTTGGAAGCCGCTCTTGCCAGTCTTAGGGCTTCAACAACCAAGAGCAAGGTGGTTGAATGTCCACCAAAAACACCAGTGTGAAGGGATGTGTTAATGATGTGAGTGAGTGCAGGTACAACTGCAGGAGAAATGGCTTGAAGGAGATGAGATGGAATAGGATCAAGCGGACAATTTACTTGCAATTTCTTAGAGAATTTTTTTTTTCATTTGTTCTTGTCTAAGATCTAGTTTCTTAAAGTTAACTAAAATAATTCATATATATATATATAGAGAGAGAGAGAGAGAGAGAGAGAATGTTCTTGTACATTTATTTTATTATCTTAATAATTGAACCTTAACATGTACTTTATGTTAGCATCAAATAAAGTTGACATGATCAAATATGCCACATTAATGTCATTCTTATTGCCAATTTTAATCTTTGACCTTCTAAGTGATTTTTGCCTAAACAAAAAATCACTCAAACATGCATGGACCTGGTTTACTGAGGAGTGTTTGGTGATTTTGACATGTGCGCCAACACCCATAGCTGAGATCTCATTCAAACCTGTTTGCGTGAGATGGTTTCTGAGGAAAGAAGGACTTCCCATTGTGGTGTTTATAGTTAATTAGCAGTGTTCCTTCATGAGTCACGCTTAACATGGAGACAGACACCTTCAGTCTTATTCACTGACTGCTGTCAGCCTGCTGTAGCCAATATTGTGGAGAAAATGAATTGAAGATGTTGCCAACACGATATAACATATAAAGTGCTGAATTACATTAGGATCTTTAAATTGTCTTAAACATAAGTACAATGAAAAGAATTGGTGTAGAAACAATTTTCATTCAGAAATTGCTAGTAAATTTCACAATCAAGTAACACATTCAGTTAAATGTGAAATGAAGAAGTAAAACATATTCCATAATCTTTGTTTTAACTTTGAACAGTGTAACTGTAAAAAACGAGAATTTAAGAAGAATTTTATTTCATAATTATATTTTGCATATTTTTAGGATCAAGGTAACTAAGTCTATCTCTCTAATATATAGAATATATATATATATATATATATATATATATATATATATATAATCAATCTTGTCAAATGAATAATAAATGGCTGAATAATTATTTAAAATTGAATTTTATTAATATATCATATGATCTGCATATTAATAGTACAAATCTAACAGTTTATGTAATAGAGAACTGCATCATTTTAAGGAATATATTTTAAATAAACATAATAAAGTGTAATATCTTTCTGTGTAATAACTGTCTGTTGTATGCTCTTATTTTTCCTCCTCCTTTTGTAAGCTATAATTTCTAAAGCTAAAAATGCTGGAAATGGTTGTGTTCTTCCACCCACTCGCGGTGTATCCACTGCAACACTGCACATCCTCACCCGCGCAATCCACCTGCCTCTGCGTCAGTGCTGCCATAGCAACGGATGATGATGCTTCTATTCTCTGATGCAGACGTCTACAGACGTCATCACATCCCATTCAGATCTCTCTCTCTCTCTCTCTTTCTCAGACTCACAGCCTGCAGTGTTATTTATAGAAACCCTACGGATCTCCAACGCAGCTAATTCAATTCATAAATTCAATTTAACTTCTAAGCATCATCACATCCCTCAATATCAAGATTTCTGAGTAAAGTTATCAAGTTCCCTTCAAAGATTTTAAGATAGGTCAATCAAATTAAATGAGTTTTGAGGTATTTAAGACAAACAACCATATATAGTAGATCTAGAATTTTTTATTTTGCATGCAACATGCTCAAAAGATATAGCAGAGAAAAATATTTAATATTTTTTAATATATAAAACATTTATATTTTAATAAAATAAGTTAAATATTTAATAGTAATATTTAAAATATTATACTGTATATAGCATATAACATGCTCATAACATTTGGCAGAGAAAAATATGTAATATTTTTACAAATATTTAAAATAATATATTTTAAATTCTAAAGGAAAGAAGGAAAAATGGACGGGGCAAAATTCCATCAGATTCATGAGGAAAATCTGCTGCCCTCTGCCAGAAAGTTGTCAATAGGAAGAAGGTTTACCTTCCAACATGACAATGACCCAAAGCACACAGCAAAACTGTCCTTGCATGGCCTGTCAGAGCCCAGACTTAAACCCTATTGAAAATCTGTGACTGCAGTCCACAAACATCACCATCAGATTGAACTGAACTTGAGCAGTTCTGCCAAGAAGAGTGGCACATATCGCAAAGTTAGTAGAGACAAATCCCAACAGACTAAAGGCTGTCATTAAAGCAAAAAGTGATTCAACCAAATACTCACACAACTCAGTGATTCTGTTTTTTTTTCTGACATGTTGGTGTTATATCTTTCACTTGGATGTTATAAGTTGCACTGAGTAAATACAGCTGGATAAAACAAAAACTGTGTCCGTCTTCACTTCAGGCTGCAGAGCAACAAAACGTGATTATTTTAAAGGGGGCTGATTCTTTTCTATGTGTGTGTGTATAATGTACATATTTAAATGTACAGTGGGATCCACAAGTCTCGAAAAACCTGGATTCAAAACGTGGAAATAAAGCTTTAACATTTGGGACTCATAAAATGATGTAGAAATATTCATGATTCTGCTCTATTTCTAGTACAGTCTTAACTAGACATCACTGAGAGTGTGGATGATTCCATCAGATAACAAACACTAGAGTGGAACACTTGATCAAGCATCCAAAGACCTTCAACGCGTTCAAAAACAAGGGAACATTTTCTACCAGACGGCCTCGTTTCTCCACCCTCGCTATGACATCAACCCACAATGCACCGCACTGTTTGCCGTTTGTTCGCCGTCTCCACGGCGACAGCGACGAGCGCGGCCCCTTTATGCAAACGAAACCGGAAGAGGACGTCATCTTTGGCCAATCTCAGCGCTCTAAAGTGACATAATGGAATTTTTAGGGATAGAAAACTTGCAAATGCGTACTGACGCCCATAGATAACACCTCTCGAGGAGAGAGACAACAATATCATAAAACAACATCATAAAGCGATTCAAAATAAGCGAAGAATCAAGAATACGCAAGAAGATCATCTAAATGACTCGTTTGGCCAGCAAACCCAGCTCAGCCCTCTATCGGGTGTAGGATGGGAACACGCCTTACCCAGGCGAGGACTTCCGAGGAATATCGCGCATTATGATGAAGAAAGACATGAGTTTGAACCTGGACGACCAGAACAGCTCCAACCTGAAGCCAGATTTGAGGGATGCCGAGGGGATTCTCAGTTCACCCGACTTGGGGCTCCTCAAGCTGGCTTCTCCGGAGCTGGAGAGGCTGATCATCCAGGCCAACGGGATGGTGACCACCACGCCGACCTCCCAGTTCGTCTACCCGAAGTCGGTGAGCGACGAGCAGGAGTTCGCGGAGGGCTTCGTCAAAGCCCTGGAGGACCTTCACAAGCAGAACCAGCTGAGCGGCGGCGCGTGCGTCCCTCCGACGCTCAACAGACTCGCCAGCAGCACCGCGCTCGCCTTGCCCACGGATCTGCCCGTGTATACGAACTTGAGCGCGTACGGGAGTACCACGGTGAACTATTCCACGGACACCATTCCGTTCCCTCCGCCGCCGCCGCCCACGCACCCGCTGGCCGCGCAGCAAGCGCAGCCGTCCCTGAAGGACGAGCCGCAGACCGTGCCGGACATGCAGAGCTTCGGCGACAGTCCTCCGCTCTCCCCCATCAACATGGACACGCAGGAGCGCATCAAGGCCGAGAGGAAGAAGCTCCGGAACCGCATCGCCGCCACCAAATGCCGCAAGAGGAAACTGGAGCGGATATCCCGGCTGGAAGACAAAGTGAAAAACCTGAAGAGCCAGAACACGGAGCTCGCGTCCACGGCGAGCGTGCTGAGAGAGCAAGTGGCGCAGTTAAAGCAGAGAGTGATGAATCACGTCAGTAACGGGTGCCAGTTGCTGCCTAACCAAGTTCAAGCTTATTAGAGGACATTCTGTCGGTCTTTATCTATCAGTGTTTGGGTGGTTGACAAACAACATGCTCTGGTTTGGTTAAACGTCACATTTCCACAGCAGTGCACGAGATGTTGTGCTATTGTCGAGATATTGTGTAGGCTATAGCGCGGCCTAAAATATTAAGGAAGCACAATATTTTATTAAACTAATCTACTTCCGCGAGAAAATATAGTCCCTGATTTGACGGAACGTCGCTATGCAACGAGATTAGCGATCGCGCGTAGTGATACGGCGAACGCTGTTTCGCATCATAGCGAAAGACTCGAACTATATTTCTTACTTGTGGTTAAATATTATATGTTTGATTGGATAAGCAGCGTTCCTAATATTTTCCTAAAACGTCCAAATATTAGTCCGCCTGTACGTGTGACAGCTGTCAGTCTGTGCGTTCGACTCTGTTTTGGTTTCGTTTAGAACTATTTTCGTTGCTTTTATTATAATAATGGATTTTTTTTATTATTAAATAATGATATTAAGTACCATCAACATTGCTATGCAGCACAACTAGCAATCGGTGATGAGGTGAAAGCTTTTTCGCGTCATCATTCAGGACCGGAACTATATCTGTTTTATGTCATCTATTATTTTTATTTTTATAATGTGACAAAAAGCGTTCGTAAAGTTTCCTAAAACATCACTGGAAAGCTCTCTCTTTGTATCAGTCCGCTGTGTGTTGCTTGGCAACACGATCGTGCTTTGGTTTCTTTAGGAACTATTTTCGTTGGCAGTGCTTTTATTTTAATATTTTCGTTAAATTATTATATTACTTGCAATCATTCCGATAGAAAATACAGTCCTTGACTTGACTAAATGTTGCTATGCAACGTTATAGCTGTTTCTTGTATTTTAGCACTACTGGAACGCTGCATTGACCAATCATCATGCATTATATATATATATATATATATTTTAAATAAATTTAGGTCTAAATTAGGCCTATACAACAGTTTGTTCTGGACTGGTAAACTAATTTGATTGTGCAAGCAGTATTTCAGAAGCACTGAATTCACTGTATCACTAACTTGTTGACAGCTTCCTCTGGAACTATTTTCTTTGGCAGAGCAACAGCAAAATGACTGACTATATAATGTATAGTCATACATACGTATAATCATATTGCTTAAATACACTTACGAGTGCATCGAACCCCCCAGTGATAGTTATGAAGTGTATTAAAACTGTAATGAATTCATATCCATGATGCCAGTCAGCTGTCTGTGTGCTGAAACATTATTCTGAGCTGGACATGTCAAATCAACGACCCATTCACTGATGCAGAAAGGTCACAGAATGAACTGATCTCACCCTTCCAGTGGCCGTTCGTTCTGGTTGGACTGTTGAAATGGACACTACAGGTGCTGATGTATTATATGTTTACAATATTTTGTAGCAAATGGACTCTGTGCTACATGGTTTGATCTCATGAGAGAAGCAGCTGTATTTTTGCATGCTCCGGACAAGCTCCAAACGAGTGCAACCAAACACAACAAAGATGTCATGCATGTATGCTTCATGTCTAAGGCCTTATTAATCACAGGCCGTATCGATTTTATACACAACTACTCACACAATGTCTTATTTTATGCTCTTTTGGATTTATGTGTCGTCATGTAAATGTAAACATTTCACCTGTCACATGTCCTGTACTGCCTTGTGTGTACATTAATGTCATTAAACCTGTTCAGTTCACTTGTTAAATTATATATTTGTGGCATTTTATTCCTATTTGTTAATGCATACATGTATACACCTAGAATATTTGTATAAAATGCAGTGAGTGAATGGGTGCCGTCAGAATGAGAGCTGATAAAAACATCACAATAATCCACAAGTAATCCACAGCACTCCAGTCCATCAGTTAACGTCTCGTGAAGCCAAAAGCTGCGTTTTGAACGAAATAAATCCATCATTAAGACATTTTTAACTGCAAACCCTTGCTTCTGACTAAAATACAAAGAAACGAACTCATCTACATCTACAATGCAGCAAATTTTCATTTTTGGGTGATCTATTCCTTTAACACTACTGTCTGTCACAGTGGAACAGAAACAGCGCCATCTAGTGGTTTAATTTGGCATAGTACAACAACTACTCGAGTATACAGTAGCACCAAATAAATGCATGAAACGGAATAAGAAGAATCACAATATGTGCATTTTCATTACAAAGCACAACTCACAATCAGCGTTTGATTTAAAATTATTTGTCTTTATTCAGCTCAATTAAGGTCACAATCTCAAGTACATTACACCATGCTATTTTAATGTGCATTAATGTTGATAAAATAATTACCTAGCATAATACAACAGGTTGCATGAATCAAATGAGCAGAAGCCTTTAGATTAAAACATCTTTAAAAGAATGAAAATCCAGTCCGATTTGACTGACAAAGCATTTGAGTGGTAATAA